GATAAGTTAATATACAGTAAATTATTTTGTATGCAATATTCCTGCCTTTTTTTTTCCAGAGTACTATTTTTATCATCCAAAATTCCATTATTTTCTTTTTCTTTTTTTTTTAAATCAATAATTCAATCAATACAGTTAATTCCTATTGTTAAGTATATGTAAATTACATGCCTTAATATATGTATGCATGCATTGTTTCGCAATATTCGCGATATCTTTCCCGATAAAATCGATAAAGTTAGTCATATGTTTCGGATGAATATTCATCATTTATATTTGTCACTTTTAAGGCTGAAAAGAAGCAAGAACATTTTTATACTGAATGGTAGACTTTACAAAAGAAGAATCATCCTCTATTACCTAACTTTATCCATTCTTCTTGCACCAATTCTGATAGCAATAATAGCCCTGTACAAAGAACCCTGTACCAATGGATGTCCCATAAGGCTGTTAAATGATAAAACGGTACAAGGACCACCTTCCCAGCGGAAGGTACTGAGCACTAATTCACTTTTTCAAATGTGTTTTCATTGAGGTCGGTTGAATATAAGGTATTGGCCGCGATTTTGTATTTTTTGTTCTTAGTGTTTTCGTCATTAATTTGTTGTATCGATGTTGTAATTGCAAGTTTGTTGTTGTATTAATAAATTTATCGTAATAACAGGTTTTATTACCCTTGTTTGAGGTACTATCAACTAAAGAGGTGGAGAGAACCCTCAGTTTTTGTCACGACTGAAGAATATCGGCGACACATGTTAATTGAAACTTTAGTGATAAAATAATAAATTATCGATTTAATTAAATTATTACCAAATTAATAGTGCAACATTATAAATGCATTATGATAATGTCTTGGGGTGATGCTTATTAGTATAGATCATTTTCCTTTCCATATCATATGATGATATTGATTATTGTTCGACCAAAAGATTTGTCCCATTATATTTGTCACCTCATGTTAATGATGCTACTTATTCTTTTTATCAAATATGCTCCTCGAGTAGCTACCAGAAATTTTATTGAAGTTTTCTTGAGATTTTCCGTATTATCATTAATCAGTTTAGTTTACTATTTTCTTCATTTGACCATTTTTTGCAATCGTAAAACCTATTTGCAGGTAACGATAGGTTCACCTGAAGTAGATGATGTGGTCCCATAAAGTGGACAGAATCTGATCCCAATGCTCAAGACATGAAGCAGGTGACGAACAAATTAGAATATGATATCAGATGTTTGAAATTGAAAAAGAAGAAGAAAATTCTGTTTAATGATTTTATGGGTTCTTATTGCATTACTTTTCGATATTATGGATACTTAACGTAGAAAGATAATAACCTGATTTTATCACTTTGTTATCACTCGTTATCTTCAATGATTTCATTTTTCTTTTTCAGAGCTGAACAAGATGCACGTCTATATATACGTTAAGATGATAAAAAACATGCTGCTCATTATTTACGTGAAAAACACTCTAAAGGAGGTTGAAACTAAAGATAATCAGTATCAAAGGCTTTTGGAAATGATGCAATAATTAGGATAAACAAAATAAGGTAAGCAAGTTCTGGATGCTTACAAACTTGGTACTTGGTTTTTTTTTTTTATTACTATATATTACTATTATATTATTATTATTATATCAATTATTATATTATTATACATCAGATGATGACGAATAACTCCTGTCACATACTCTTCTATCAGGTGATAAAATGCAATCTGCATCAAATGACAACACAGATAATCGGTATTAAATGATGATATATAACTCCTATCAAATGAGATGATAAATGCCATTGATGGTGATATATTACCTGTGCTAGGTGGCAACATATAATTGTAGTAATGCATAAATTTAGCCATAAAATCATCTGTGATAAACGTTGACAGAATTTTCAGTGCTGTTTGCAAAACAAATGACACTTTTTTTTTCCTTCATTTATCCGAGGAATATCCAAAACTTTTACGGATACAGAAGAAAAATGGAAAAAATGAAAATAAAGACTAGAATATTAAACAGAACAGCCTAAAAATAAACGGAGTAAAGCTTTCTAATTTGTAAATTTGAAAAGAAAAGAAAAAGTATTATTGTAAGTAGTAAGGGATAGTAGTGGTAGAATGAAATTATAATTAAGGATAAGGGAAAAGTTTTTTGGTTTTTTTCCCTTTTAAATGAAAAGTTTATTAGTAAAGAAAATTTAAATAGACAATAAGCTTGCCTTTTTTTAATTAAATGTGAATTTTGCTTTAATTTCAAAGAGTTTCCAAAAATAAAACTTTGTCAATTCAAAAAATTTCCAAAAAATTTTTGATTGAAATTTTATATTTTACTAATTTTTTTTTTTTAAAAAAAAAGCGTTTGTGTTGATAATAAACTTATTGCATATATAAAAGTTACATCGTTTTTTGGATGAAATATTCGAGAAAATTTCAAAATAAGAAAAAAAATAGGAAGAAATTATATTATATCAAAAATGAAAAAAAAAAAAAAAAAAAGAAGAAATATTCGTGTTTTGTTAGTAAAATGAATGTCGCATTTTCAACAAAATTGCTTCTTTTAATATCCAGAAAGTTCTTGGAAAGTTTGATCCAATTCCTCAGAAATATTTTTGTATCGCTCCTTTTCATGTACCAATTCATCTGTAAATGTAATAATTTTTTTTTTTGCCTTTCTTTTTATTTGTTTTATTTTTTAAATGAAATTTACAAATTTTAAGAAAGTTTAATAGGAAAATATGAATTTAATTGATAAAGAAAAAAAAAACATGCATGGCGCGGTAAAAATGGGGCAAATTTTTACGGATGCTTCTTTTTTTTCACTATAATATGTATATATGGTAATTATTTCGTAACATACTAATTGACAATTAATTATTTCACTTCAAATTGGTAACTATTCGAAAATTGAATATTTTATTTTGAATTATCTAACAGTTAGAACTTATTGAATATTTTATTTTGAATTATCTAACAGTTAGAACTTATTG